TCCCTTGGACTGCAAGGAGATCCAACCAGTCCATCCTAAAGGAGATCAGTCCTGGGTGTTCATTGGAAGGACTGATGCTGAAGCTGAAACTCCAATACTTTGGCCACCTCATGTGAAGAGTTGACTCATTGGAAAAGGCCCTGATGCTGGGAGGGGTTGGGGGCAGGAGGAGAAGGGGACGACAGAGGATGAGATAGCTCGATGGCATCACCGACTCGATGGACATGAGTTTGAGTAAACTGCACGAGTTGGTGATGGACAGGGAGGCCTGGCGTGCTGCAATTCATGGGGTCGCAAAGAGTCAGACACGACTGAGCGACTGAACTGAACTGACAGTGCTGCAGGCAACAGGCACCATTCTGCACACGGGTGAGTTTAGTTCTTTCTGTCTTGTTGCTCAGGGGAAACTCGACTTTCTGATAAAAGGCCTGTCAGAGGTTCTCAGAATGTATTTTTAAGCAACAAAACAGAACAGCACAAACAACAATCCATCTACTCCTAGATGAAAGTTTTACTCTTCTAGAAGATGGGTGCTTGGTCTCTCAGTGGTGTCCGACTCTCGGCAACCCCATGACTGTAGCCCTTCCAGCTCCTCTGCCCCTGGAATTTTCCAGATGAGAATGCTGGAGTGGGTTGCCACTTCCTACTCCAATGGATCATCCTGGTCCAGGAATCGAGGCTGTAGTTATTTTTATTGTGAAGTTTTCTTACTCTCTGGGGCATTAGGTGTAGTGTGCCAGTGTGTGTATGTGTGTGTGTGCATGTGTATGCTCGAGTGAAGGGCTGGAGAGAATAGGGAGGGTCCTATTGCAGGGTGAGGAGACCCCCTAGGCAGTATAGACAATCTGTGTTCACAACAAGGTTCTGACGTTGAGCCTCAGAGCCTCCCTGCCACCCTCTCTCTCAGGCTCCCCATGAGTGCCCTGTTCTCTGGCTGACACCTCCCAGGGACCAGTGCTGCCGAGTTGACCCTGTGTGGAAAGGAGGGGGGTCTCCTGGCAGTCAAAGGGGAGGAGACGGTGACATTGGAGAGCTCCTGGGTGGAGGGGTGTGAGTTCTCCAGGTGGGGGCGGATTTCTGCCTGTCCTTTCAGGGCAGCTGGAGGTCAGCTATTAGGGAGGCAGGAAGGTAGACGGGATGGCCTATGAGCTGTGGCTTTAGTTTGCCACTGGAAGGTCAGGACCCTGTGTATGAGGTAGCAAAGCCCAGCTTCTAGGGTAGAGTGGCTGGGCTTGGATTCCCATTCTGCCCTTATTTGCTGAGTGGCCTTGAGGAGATGCTGAGCTCTTGAGTCTGCAAGAAAGGTATGACCGCGTTCTCACCCTCTGATCTTGATTAAAGTTCAGTGGAGTGAATACTCTAGCCTGTAATGTAAGAGGGAAGGCCAGAGGGACCGATGAGGGTCTGTGATGGCCCAAGGACAGCGGGTGTGGGCAGAGTGCGCGCGGTAGCTAAACACTGCAGAGTCCCCAAGGACAGGATGAGGGAAGACAGACAGAGAGAGGGGTGCTGCAGCCTGTGTGTGGGTTTACTGCAGGGGGCCGGCTGGTGTGCACACGTGTGCATGTGTCTGAGAATGTCTGTGCATCTTACGTGCTTGGGAGTGTTGTGTCTGTGTGTGCACTGTGAGTGAGTGTGTGGCGTGTGTGTATTGTGTATCTGTTTTGTTTGTGAACTTGTGCACACGTTGTGTTCGGTGTAATTCAGTTTAATAATTTAATTGAATTGTAACGTCCCAGAGTTAGTCTTGGGGAAAGGAGTGCCTCAAGGAGCAGGACAGAGGATGAGACCTGAAGGAAGCATGTAAACAGCTCAGGGGAGCCTGCAGAGAGGGCCAGGAGGTCCATTTGCGTGGATTCCCAGCTCTCTGCTGCCCCCCCATCCCATTCTCCTGAGAGGCATTCTAAGCTTAGGGCTGGGAGCCCTCTGGGTTGTCTATTAAGGGGAGATGGGGTCCCCAGGTGACTTGCAAACTTCTTGCACAAGTTCGGTCTCTACTGCTGCCCCCGCCCGCCCCACCTCCCCAGCCTACTTTCACTGTGACTTTGGGAGAATGAAGCGGGGCAACATCAGTGCCAAAGTAAATGCCAAGCTGGTGCTGGCAGGAACCCTGGGGAACACTTGACAAAGCACAGAGTCAATGCCCTCATAGCAGCAGGAGCTGGATCAATGGATTTAGGGTCAGGGGAAAGAAGAAGGAGAAAGGAAACTGAAGGACGGGTCTTTTGGCCACGTGGTCTGACCCTGTCAAGGTTACTGTGGGTGGTTTTCCTGTCTCACGGTGTCAGACTCTCAGGTTAGTGGGTGAGGATTTTGGAACTGGTAGTACCCACTCCGGAGAAGGCACTGGCACCCCACTCCAGTACTCTTGCCTGGAAAATCCCATGGACGGAGGAGCATGGTGGGCTGCAGTCCATGGGGTCGCTAAAAGCCGGACACGACTGAGCGACTTCACTTTCACTTTTCACTTTCATACATTGGAGAAGGAAATGGCAACTCACTCCAGTGTTCTTGCCTGGAGTATCCCAGGGACAGGGGAGCCTGGGGGGCTGCCGTCTATGGGGTCACACAGAGTCGGACACGACTGAAGCAACTTAGCAGCAGCAGCAGCAGCAGCACCTGCTCATGGCAAGGGGCATTTGAATGAGTCAGGGCAGAGGGAAGAGCAGGGTTTGGTAGGCGGGTGGGCAGAGATACAAAGAGACAGAGACACCTGCAAAGCAAGATAGGAAGAGAGAGACCAGTAGGGACAGGGAGAGGCTGGAGAGGGAGAAAGTTAAGAGACTGCCAGAGTGAGAGACTCAAAGAAAGAGAAGAAAAGGTCTGTCCTTAGAACAGGTGAGGAAGAAGTGTGCAAAGGAGCTTTCTCTGAGTCACCTTATATAACATCCCCTAATCATGGCAGTGTTTCATTAGAATTGCCATCCCATGGTGAATGCCAGTATCAAAAGTCCTATACTTTCCCAGACAGACTTATCGGAGGCTATTCTCTGCATACTGATTTTTTAATAGCACTAATATTCCAGTTTAAAGGGAGTCTCCTTGCATGTCTCTAACTATGATGTATTGTTTATGATACTGATGATTGAACTGATTCATTACTTTGAGCTTGAATCAGATAACACACATAGTTTCCCCCTCTGAGAATATAAATTTCATCATTTAAGACATCGTGAAATAAATTCATCACGGCACACACACATCTGTCCTGAGAAACTCCTTCTTCTTCACCTTTGGGTTCATGGAGCGAAGACCATGGTTGACCCTGGTGGCTGCAGCTTGGAAAGGCTTCCCAAGGTCCCTGGGCATTAGGATAGGACTGCGTGTCAGCAGATAACCTTCCAAAGGCAATGGACTTTACCTGGCTGGAAGAGAAATTGAAGTTTGGATGGGGTGGCTTATTTTTCGGAGGGGTGTGACACAGCCTCTATCCCCAGGAGCAAATGGTCTGAGATTTCAGGGAGATGCCTGCCTGCTCTGATGCCAGGAGCTGGACCGGCTGAGAGAGTGAGGCCATGAAGCCATTTTCACTGGCTTAGGTTGAGGGTCGGAATGGAGCCCCAGGAGAGTTAGTAAGGGATGGCTGAGCATCAAGAAATGAAGGCCTGAGCCTGTGAGAGAGAACGGGGTCTGGGCACACCGGCCCCCTGTGTGTGATGTGGAGTGAGCCTCTGAATGTGGCATGTTCAGCAGGGCTCCTCCAGGTTCAGGACCTAAACAACTCCACTGTGCTCGGACGGACACCTGAGGCTGCCCCCCTCCTCCTGGGAGCCACGGCTGAATCCCAGGGGCAAAATTCGCTGACACTCACCTCCCCTCCTCCCTTTCATTGTTCTATGGTTAGTTTCTCAGGCTGTTACTCAACTGTGTAGGTTCCCTGCTTTAAATCCCCTCTTTAAAATCATCAGGTATATTTTTATTTTCCAGGTTGGGCCCTGAAAGCGATAGAGCAGCAGTCACACAGACAAGGTGCTTGTGGTCGTGGAGTTTGTATCCTGGTGGAGGGGGAGGGAGGCCCAGAATACAAACAAACACACACAGTATACTGAGAGGCAGTGATAACAGTGATGCAGGTTGGCAATGGAGACCTCCAGGCCGTGAATGGGGTAGTCAGGGAAGACCTCTTGGGTGAGTGAGCGAGTGAAGTTGGCCGGAGAGGGTGGGCAGAGGCCCCGAGGCTAGAGCATCCTGGCACGTCGGGGAACAGCAAGAAATCAGGTGGCAGAAGTCGAGTGAGCAAGAAGGGTAGTAGTGGGAGATGCAGAGAGGGAAGTAGTGGGGGCGGGCAGGTCATTTAGGGTCTTGCTGACCACTGTGAGGACTTCTGGTTTTACTCTGAGTGACAGAGAAGGCCATAGGAGGATTTTGAGTGCAGAAGTGATATGATCTGACTTTTTTTTTTTAAATATTGAAGTATAGTTAATTTACAGTGTTGTGTTAGTTTCACATGTACACCAAAGTGATTCAGTTATACCTATTAATACTTACTTATTATATTTTTTCAGATTCTTTTCCATTATAGGTTATTATTAGATATTGAGTATAGTTTCCTGTGGTATACAGTAGGTCCTTGTGGTTTACCTATTTTGCATAGAGTAGCATGAATATGTTAATCACATACTCCTAATTTACAGCCCCTCCTGCTTCCCTGCCACTCCACTCTCCCGTTTGGTAACCATAAATTTATTTTCTATATGATCCGACTTATACCTGAAAAGGATCATTTTGGCTGCTGGATGGAGAATAGGCTGTAGAAGCAGAGAGACCCATTCATCAACCATGATTGCTTTGTGTTACAGAAAACCCAAGATAGGCTTATTTTTTATACTAAAAAAAATCCAGAGGCACACAGTTTATGGCTAGTAGGGTAGTCCCACAAAGTGATTAAGGACTCAGGTTTCTTCTGTATTTTTGCTTCACTGTCCTGAGTGCCTGGCTTCCACCCTCCATGGACACTTCATGTTCTATAATGAACACTGCATGTTCTATAATGAGGCTGCCGCCATGGAGCACTCTGAAGGCAGCAGGAGGAGGGAGGATGAGGAAGGGCTAGCTCATTCTCCTTCCATAAGTCTTCCCAGCAGTCTGTGCAACACCTCTGATTATGTGGCCAGAACTGAGCCACGTGGCCACACCTAGCTTCTAGGGCAGCTGGGAAATAGTTTCCCTATTGCATGTATTGTCCAGGTTTTTGTCACCAAGGAAGAAGGCGAAGATGACATTGGGGGGTCATTAGTCTCCTCCACCACACAATTAAAAAGATGTTGCAATAATCCAGGGGAGGGGAGGATGTTGGCTTGTACCAGGTGGTATTGAAGGAAATGGTTGGTGGTGCTCAGATTCTATAGTGTTTTCTTGGTAAATGTGAC